TAGCCACCAATTCCTTTACGTTCATAATAGAGTCACATTTCTGAATAGAATAAAATCGGACAGAATTAAAAACTGTTCTGTTAAAATCGATACGCATGCTTTCTCAACAGGAAAACCTGTGAGAAAATTTAACGGGTAAAAAGCAGCATTAAAAACCGCTTTCAAACTCCTCAACTGGATTTCTATATATTCGAACATTTATATAAAATAGCACTCAAATTAGTAACATCAAAAAGCTAACAGCTATTCAACTCTCCATCCATTGTTAATACTGCCCTACACAGCCAGCGGTGAGCATTTTTACAACCACTGTTATTACTAAAACTACTGCCACCATTAAGGGTAACAAACTATATCTGGCACGCAAGCACACACAAACGCTCCTTTCAGTCCAATGTAATTTGATCAACTGAAACAGAAGCAACAAGCTGCTAGCGAAAAAGATCCTTCAACCCAAAGAGAAATCCCCGCTTTTCTACACGACCCTCTCTCCCTATGCCCAACTCTTTTATAACTCTCAGGCTTCGATAAAACATTTCTTCATATCTGCGCTACCCCCACAGCAGTACACCATAGTCTTCTTTACCCTAACTATAAAATATGTCAATTCACCAAGATAACAATCACAGAGCACACATGCAAGGAGAAAACTTTTTATGTCAAACCAATTCATAACCGTAAACAATAAACACATGAAAGAAATCAATTATAACGACTCAAGACGTAAGCGAACCACCCGGTATTTGTGAATTTAGTAGAGAAGATAAAGTAACCTCAACAAAGTGAAAATTATAAACGCAAGAAATAAGATTTCTCTTCATACCCTGTACTGTCACTTACAAAAACGATTAAAAACGGCGCTATTGTAGTTAAGTGCGATCACCCAAAAATTTTTTACCATCCACCTACTTTCCTTTTCCGTACATAGTTCCCAGTCTGATTCATCCGCATCAGTCTCAGGTTTGCCTGTTTACTTATTGCTCATTTCCAACCGTCTCATGTCAAATTAATCCTTACGACGTTTTCCGACTCTGCCTTCTCTCCGGCGCGTGATGCAATAGATAATACCCACAGTTCTGTATCTATATGACATTTCGTTCAGTTCCCCCAACGTTTACTTTCCTAAAGACACTTCCGCTATTGCAAGTGTTAACAGCTAAACTGCTCTAAAATTAAACTAAATCTGTGCTTAAAGTAGTTTCCATATCTATCAGTGCCTTCACCCACGGTAGCTTTCGGCTGGAATTACTTGGTCGGAAAAAACTGAATAGCTTCATGGCCA